TGGAGATGGTATATTACATGTAGAGTGAAATATTATAAAACACAGGGAAAATAAATAAGGATTAAGAAGAGGCTGAGCTTGAAAAGTGGAAAAACTAATTAAGAAGCCCAAACTATATAATGAGAAAAGGGGATTATCCAGAAGGTGAATAAAACTTGTCAAAAGTTGCTTGTTTTAAAAAAAATGGAAACCATATGACCTCTGAGAGATAGTGGAGAGAATTTAATAAAGGAGACACAGGATTTGTGTCTGGTGGTTTTAATATTCTGCCTTTGAAAAGTACAGAAAATGAGAACTGCATATCCATAAAACTGAAGGTAGTACAGCCATATAATCCACATTAAACAATGTATTTATTTGCATTCAGGTCCATAAAAGTGGTTTAAAAAATAGTAGACCAATAAAAAATTAATAAAACTTAGTAGAGTAATGGAAGATGGTATTCTTCCCACCCTCAAAGATAACTAAATCCATCAGTCAAACCAAACATTCAAAAAAGTTTGAGAATTGTCTCTAAAATCAGTCATAATCAAATTAAAGGACTTAACTAACTTTTTGTTGTTGTTTAGTTGTTTAGTCGTGTCCGACTCTTCATGACCCCATGGACCAGAGCACGCCAGGCACTCCTGTCTTCCACTGCCTCCCGCAGTTTGGTCAAACTCATGTTTGTAGCTTCGAGAACACTGTCCAACCATCTCGTCCTCTGTCTTCCCCTTCTCCTTGTGCCCTCAATCTTTCCCAACATCAGGGTCTTTTCCAGGGAGTCTTCTCTTCTCATGAGGTGGCCAAAGTATTGGAGCCTCAGCTTCACGATCTGTCCACTCAGGGCTGATTTCCTTAAGAATGGCTACGTTTGATCTTTTTGCAGTCCATGGGACTCTCAAGAGTCTCCTCCAGCACCATAATTCAAAAGCATCAATTATTCGGCGATCAGCCTTCTTTATGGTCCACCTCTCACTTCCATACATTACTACTGGGAAAACCATGGCTTTAACTATACGGACCTTTGTTGGCAAGGTGATGTCTCTGCTTTTTAAGATGCTGTCTAGGTTTGCCATCACCTTTCTCCCAAGGAGCAGGTGTCTTTTAATTTCGTCTGAGTTTGATTATTATTGGATACAATCCATTATGAACAGAGAAAAGACTGAAACGTCTCACATTGCTCTCATGATGCAGATCTGCACATTGGCACACACACGTATACCAGCAAACTAGTTAGAGCTGAGCCACCCATTCACACAACTTGTGATACTGCATCACATAATGTCATCAGTTGAGGCCTCACAGCTGACTATCTGAACTATCTGATTGGGGGATGTTTCAAGGTGAACCCAAATTCTAGTGGTGCCATTCGATCTGTGATAGCTCATTCATACACACTCCCTCTCACACATGTGTCAACACTTGCATACCAACTAACCATCCATTAGGGAAGTGGCACATCCCTCTTTAATGGGCCTCTTGATATGAACAGGATTGGTAAATCTTGTGCATGCTGGCACCCATTCATTTGCCAGATATCATCTGCAGGATTACTATTTCAGCCCACATTGGCAAATGCTTGGAAGGAAACATTTCTATGGCAGTGGTGTGCTGCGCCATCTAGTATGATGTGTAAGGGTGGGATTATACTGAACCAGGTGTAATGTTAAACCATAGTCACAAGAATGAGGTGAACCTCAGGCCTTCCTCATCTTCTGGTGCAATCATGAGAAGATCAGAGGCTTTAGCTTTGATTCATTTACCCGGACCCTGAGATCTTCTGCGGCCGTACCTCAAGGACTGCTTCTTCCCATATGAACCCACCAGGACCCTGAGATCACCTTCTGAGGGCCTTCTTTGTGTGCCTCCTCCTCGAGAAGTCAGGAGGGTGGCAACATGAGAACTTTTTTTTAAGCTTTCATTTAACATCAACCAGCTACAGCTTGCCATGTTGTCCAAACCCAACAAACTGTGATTAACCTTAGCCAGTGCTTTTCCCCCTGGGGTTACTCAAGGGAAAGCAATACCGGCACCTCCCCCCCCCGCCCCCAATGTTAAAAGTGTGGCACTTATTATAACAACTTAATAGTGAGTACTGGCACCTTTTTTATATTAGAACAAACAAACCACTGACCTTACATGTATGGTTTGCAACAAAACACAGTTAAAATTAACCCCACTCAGGGTTAAATTCCATGACAAACTGTGGTAAATCTAAAATGGACTGGGAGCAAAATACTATTTGGTTTAGATTTAAAAGCAAAGTTTCCAAATTTTCCCTTTCCAAAACAATATGTGGACTGAAAGATAGCCATCC